TGAGAAAATTTCTCTATATGCACATATAGAGAAAGGTTTCTGATCATTTGGAGTGTGTGTGTGTGTGTGTTATGTGTAATATATGTACTTGTTATGGCGGTATAAGTGGGTAATGCACATGTGGATGTGGGTGCACATGTGTGTCTAGCCTCAATAACTTTTTTTTAAACATGTTCTGTACTTGAATCTGAAGCTCGTCAATTCATCTAGGTTAGCTGGCCAATGAACTCCAGGAATTGAGCTGTCTTCAGATGCTCTGCCTATCTCTACTCCCCCAGAGTGACAGGAAGAACAAACACATGTATCTATTTATGTCATTCTTGGGATCCGAACTTAGACCCTCATCCTTGTAAATAAGGCATTTTTTTCTACTAAATAACAACCCCAGTGCTAACTAAAAAATCTGTAAAAATGCATTATTTATTTAATTACGAGTGTGCATTCTTGTGTCACAGTGCACATGTGAAACTCAGATAATGTTCAAAGTTCTCTTCTTCCACTATGAGTGTCCTGAGGGTTGAACTCAGACAATCATCTTTGGCACCAGATAACTATTTGTGGTGTCATCTCACTGGATACCCCCCCACCAAAAAAATCTTTTCAGGGGGAGTAAGCTAGAGATCAAGAATTGAGGCAAGTATAAGATGGTTTTCTGCCCAGAATGATCATTTATGATGCATAAATACCATATGAGTTCATTTAAAACATTGAGAAACTAAGAAATCCAATATTTGTTAAGTTCATTATTTTCAAAAGCATTTTAGATATCATTTGTAAAAGTGTTACATGGATGTATGTTACACAATACTTGAATAAGTCTTATGTTTAAACTACCCAGTGGATGGTAATAATTTTGCACGTGTCAGATTATATACATGGATATAGGTGTATGTATATATGTACACATAGAGAAATGAAGCAAACAGGAATTGACAGGAGTTGCTTGATAATTCAGGTCTGGTGACATGGATGGAGCATGAGCCAGTGAGCTCAGCTCATGTAAATGGGAAGAGTCATTTTTCTGTTGTAAGCTAGTAATCTATGTCAACTGGGACTCCTTTTTCTCTATTTATGAAATCCACATATGGCCCAAACTCCTGGCAAATAGATAATATAGTCTTCTAATTACAGAAAGCTACAACTGTTCATAGTCACCAGCAAATACACTCCATTATAGACAGCCTTTGGTTTCTCTTGCCAGGCATTGTGTTCTTATTCTATGGAGCAAACACTCAGGAGGTGGACAAGAAAGTATTAGGAGTTGAAGGTCATCCCTGACTGCATAGTTTGAGGCCTGTCTGCACTACATGAGACCATGTCTCAAAATTTTTTTAAAGTCGAAATAGGCCTTTAAACCTTCTAGACAAAAGGTCACTCCCCAGGAAAATTAAGTATTTTAGAGATTTTAGAAACATCTTATGGCTTGCCTAAAATATAGATTGGCCCTGTGTTCTCTCTGGCTATTTTCACTCTCACATAATTTACAAAGGTCCCTATGTTCCTTGCACCCCTCATCCTTGAAAGTGCCTTAAATCACTCTGTAATAAATTCCACCTGGCCCTTATACTACAATTTGTGTGTCTCATTTGAAGTCATTCAATGGAGATCACAGAACCAGGGAGCTAAAGAAAGTCCCAAGCAGATTCTAGAATGAATTCATAAAATGTGTGCCTTGGATGCATGCCATAGTTTATTAGGTAAAAGTGATTTTGTTCTGCAGTCCTCACAACCTAAATTTGATCCCTCCAGGTCACAGGGGAAGGAGAGAATTGTCCTCCACATATATACCACAGCATGTGTGTATTCAACCTTTCCTAAACACACAAATATACACACATTTAGAAGGAGAAAATGTGCCTTTATGTAAGATGGAAAAGACAGAAGAGCTGGCCCATATTTGGCCTTTGATTTACATCAAAATATTGACAAATAATATAGTTTATTTCAATAATGTATACATGCTTTTAAAAACTACTGCCTTGTTTTTATTGGCATTTAAATTAAGTGACTATTAATTTCATAACCTGTGTAGAGAGGCCTGGATATTTTGAGAACTTATAATATTTGTAGAATATATCAGTTCCCCTTGCCCATTTGAAAGAAGAGTGATTTCAGGGCATGGGCCATAAATCCAGCTTTAAGTAGTAAGGACTCCAAATCATGTAGGTATTGACCATGTCATAGACATTCTTAGCTAAGATGGACAAAGTGGTCCCTACCAAACTAAAGTACTGAGGGTTAAAGTGAGGCCTTAGGGATACAGCAACACCCACAAAGAGAGAGTCCAGTTCATGGATGAGGCAGGATCAAGATAATGCTTAGGCATGAATGGGCACAATGCATGATAAGGCTTCATTCAAGTATACACTTTGCTGAGAAGTGGGGAGTGAAGTGGATGTATATTGTATCAAAGCAGGATAAATAAAGGCCTATGAAATGGTTTTGAGGGACTACGCAATTGTTCAGAAGGAGCTTCTATAGTCTTATTCTGAAGGAGCGTTATAGTCTTAACAAGTGTCAAGAAGGAGGGCTGGAGATGTAGATGTACAGTGTTTGCCCCATGTAAAAAGCCCTCGAAGCAATTTCCAATGCTGAATAAAACTGGGCATGGTAGCACATGCCTAGTATCCTGAAAGTTAGTTGGTGGAAGATGTGGACAGATCAGAAGTTTATGATAATGTTTGACTACATATCAAGTTCTAAGGCAGTCTGAACTACATGAAACCATTGATGAAAAAATAAGATCTAATGGCTCAACCAAGTTCTCCTCAGCGAACATGAAGGTTTGTCGTAAATGTCTTGATTTCCGTTTTTGAAGTAGAAGGCACTTGGCCAGCATGTCTTACTCCATTCTTCTCAAAATCCTGGATTGCTCTCTGTATGCAGCCTGATCTTCATAATATGGCTAGCAAGGTGAGCCACCTATTTTCACCCTCTCCCTCCTTGTCTGTAATGGTAGGTTAGCTTTCAAACTGCGGTCCAACTCCTAATAGAAATTCTGCCTTCTCTCTTCTTTTGCATAGCAGCTGTCTCAGTTGATGCAGTGTAGATCCTGACTATTCTTCACTAATTGGTATGTGAATGTTTTCATTAGGAGCTTTGGTGGTTTGAATGAGGATGGCTTTCATAGGCTCATATATTTGAATATTTTTTTCTTAGGTGGGGTCTTGTTTAGGTCAGATTAGGAGTATGGCCTTTTGGAAAAGGTGTGTCACCAGGAATGGGCTTGGAGGTTTCAAAAGCCCAAACCATATCCAGTCTCACAATCTCTGCCTTCTGCTTGTGGATCAGATGCAAGCTCTCAGATACTGCTCCAGAACCATGCCTGCCTGTCACCATGTTCCCAACCAAGATGGTCATGGGCTCACCGTCTGAACCTGTAATCAAGCCCCCAATCAAATGCTTTCTTTTGTAAGTTGCCTTGGTCATGGTGTATCTTCACAGCAATAGAGCAGTAAGCAAGACAGACCTTGAATAGTATCCTAATATTTTCTTCATGTATGCCTGAGCACATCTTAAATACAATGATTTTGTTGAGTATTGAGGCAGAAAAACTTCAACATGTTAACAGAGCACAAGCAGGACACAATGTCCATAGCAGGCAAGCAGCAGATCTCCAAGGTAGGCAAGTTTATGAACTGTTACTAGGGTACTTTTCACTATACAAACGTGGCAAAGGATGGTCAGTCAGAGCTCTGTGGCTGATTACCTAAGGAGCAGCATTCTCGCCATCTATTCATGTTCAAGTCCAGTGTTGTCTACCAACTTTCAGCCTGTTCCAGACTTTACCCCACCCCCACCTCAAGCCCGTCTTCACATTTTTACAAGCTGAAAGAAAGGAAAGTCAGTGTAGCTGCATAGGAATCTCTCTCTCTCTCTCCTGCAAAAGAATTAGTGTCTTCCCAATGTTCATAGTGAATTTGATGCAAACTCAAAGCCATGGAACAGAAATCTAATATTCAAAATTTTCTGCATTGGCCTGAGCCATTTTCCTGTATTTTGAAATCACTAGTTTTCACAATGAAGCCTTTTTCTCATTTTTGTTTGAGAAATTACTCATGGTCTGGGAGGGGCATGCATTAGATTCTCACAGTCCTTACTCAGACTTTAAAAGTTTAATACCATTACCAATAGAAAATTTTACTACCAGCAATGATACAGGGTCAGGCACAGGGGAACACTCCTGTCAAGTGTTTTTTTGTTTTTGTTTTTGTTTTGTTTTGTTTTTTGATGGAAGAACAAGGACAGGAACAATAAAGTTTCTAAATATTATGTTAATTTTCCCAAAGAAAAAGTGAGTATCTGCTAAAGCATCTATAAGCTAGTGAGCTAGGAAATAAACTGATAATTGTTGGTGCCCATAAATATGGATCTAATTCATCCTGGCTCAAGGTCAGAGACTTCAAATCTGTCCTTAGGAAATCATAAGACCTAAAGGTCTAAGGCGTGCTACAGTGGGATGTTTGCTCTTGGCCTTGGGTGTCTTATCTAAATAACGACAGACTTGGTATGAGGTGTGATTACTCTTGACCCTCGAGGCAAGATAACAAGAAATTAAGTCTAAGGTGTGGTTACTAAATGCTTGGAGACTTAAGGAAGAAAGTCCATTTGTTCAGCATACATGATATCATGTTCCCCTTTTGGGTTGGGGTGTGTGAGAATGGTGAAGAATAAACTTGGGGCTTCAGTATTCACTGAATTGCCCTTCTGACTCTATCCTGTGTCTCTATCTTTCTTTTAATGTCTTTATCTGCCCTTTCTCAATCCATACTCCCCCTCTCAGGTACAAACCAGGGGCAAATTGGCTAGTATCGACTATAGCCCCACAAAGCCGGATCCCCACAGATAACTTGAAAAGCCACTCATATGACAGTAGTGTTAGGCACAACCTAGTTTAATTCAAGGATAGATGAGTGATTTCAATGAAAGAAACCACTGTGTTTCCTTTTCATCCCAATCAGTGTTCTAGCTTCCCATTTTCTGAGGACACATTCATCGATTCATAGACATATCGGGAATTTTGGTCTCTGGCCGCTACTGCTTTCAAAAAACATGAAGTCCTAGATAATAAGAAAAATGATAAAGTCAATTTTCAGCAACAGAAATGAGGCTACTTTTCAAATCAAGAAAACTGAAGGAACTCAGAAGTGGGAGGCAATAGAGTTTTGAGTGTGAGTCCACACTGTTCTACATGGTAAGACCTTTTCTAGAGGCAAGGACAAACAAGATACCAAAGAATAACCAAAGTATAAACCAAGCCAAAGAAGAAAAGAATAACAAAGGGAAATGAGGTATGTATAGTACAAATGAGATGCTATATGTTCACAAGAATGAAACCTTTTTATAAACAACAAAAATGAATTAACCTGGAAGATAGTAGTTACATGAAATAAGCCAGAGAAGAAAATAAAATATAGCACACTCTCACATGTGGAGTATAAAGATGGGTTAGTATTTAAGACAGAGCTAGCCAATAAGTAACTGGACAACAGCTTTATATTTAGTACAGCATCCTGTGCATTATTTGGGGCTGCTGCGGCTATGGGACCAGGCTGGCAGGAAAACTGCTCATAACAGGTTAATTTGCTTTTTCTTAATTTTTTATAATCTCATGCATATATACAATGAAATATGATCATAGCCATTTCCCATCTCCCTAACTTAGATGGTGATCTTTAAGTGTGAAGTTTTCCATGTTATCTCCATATGGTTCTGGGGACTCCACCTGAAATAATAATTACAAGGAACAGACTTACTATGAGGAAGCATGCTCCAAGCATCACAGCCTTCATCTTCACATCAAGGTCCAATGGGAAGTGGATCCCAAAACTGTCCACATCTGTCAGTAACTCCTTCAGAAAACCAGACCAATGCTTGGAAATCCTGCCAATCACAATTTCTTCATCCAGAGATTTGATCTGAATTAGAAACAAAAGTCAATGAACAAAAAGAGGAGCTTAAGAAGTTCTCAAAAAATTAAACAGTTCCAGGGTTTGTATGAGAGGGAATAGACACTCTATTCAAATCATGCTGTCATGAAACTAAACATTGGAAGGGTTGCTACATAAAATAGAAATTTTGGTAATTACACATGAAAAAAATCACAATATTTCTCCATTGTTTTCACTTGTTAGTTGCAAGTAAATTGTATGCCAGCTTAAGTTCTGTCGGTTTCTGAAAATATAAATAATTTTGCACATATGTAGATGCTTTCATATATAGATCTATTTTTACACACATATCATATAGTCTTTATATACATACATGCCAATAAACTTACACGTTCATGCCTTGTGCAATCTCTTGTAGTGTTTCTGTATTGTATTTTCTTAGAACTGCCCATGTCAGTGATTAAATTTTTAGGTCACTGAAGACAAGGTTTCATGTATATGTAACTGGATTTTAATACATCAATAAAAAACCTTCATGGCTACCAATGTGACAGAGTGACTCCGGAGAGTTTTAAAGGTTTATCAGGAAGGGGTATCCCTCTTCTCCAGCTTTGGAGTATTTTTGTTTCTCTATGTAATATAGGCCTAATATTTTTTCAGGTTTTCTGAAGAAAATCAGAGAGTCAAAAGTCAAAATGACAAAAAAAAAAAAAAAAAAAAAAAAAAAAAATTCCATCAGCTTTACAAATTCCTCCAGGAAGTAAATGTAAAACATGTTTTCAGTGGACCAATTGAACAGGGAGATCACAGGGAAGCATGCTTGGACAGTAGGCACTATACCTGCACTAGCTTCTCTCTTCTAAAACTGATTCACTTATTTTTATTTAATGTATTTTGCTTGCACATAAGTCTATGTAGCATGTGCATGCAGTGACTGACCATTGCTGAATCCTTAAACTGTGGGTCACAACAAACCTTTTTTTCTTGAAACTGTTTCTTGTCAGGTATCAGTCATAGCAATAAGAAAAGTAGCCAGTACTGAAATTGTGGATATTTTAAGATGACTGCACATTTTCCTTATTTAACAGCATCAGCACTGATCTTTCATTGGACCAGAAAATATTTCTCTGACCATGTTATTTGTTTTCTGAAATATTTGCACAAAAATTTCCACTTAATACAACTGCAGGTCATCGCAAAATATGTTTGATTTATAAGGAAAAGATATCCAATAAACATGATCACATCTGTTACCTCAAAATCAACACTTCCTACACAGCTGCACGTGATACATGGACCAACAATTTTTAGAACAGCCTGCTTCTTCTCATTTTGAACTGTAAACTTTGGAACACAGGGGTGCCAGTTCTGAATAACGAAACCAATGGGCACCCCAGGAGGAACTTGCACTTCTATCTACAAACGGAACAGAACATTGATAAATATGTTTATCATCATATTGTCTATGGCTTCATTTACCTAGAATGACAGTGAGTAGATCTACAATACCACTTAATTAGATCAATGTTATTTCTTTTCTTAGTTCATGGAGGAGATAGTACACCAAGGTAAGATGAATTAACTTGCATCAGATTTCTCAGCTAATACACAGAAGGGATGAATTTTGAACACTTAAAAGCTTGCATGCCTCACTAATATCTCCATTTATAAAAACTGTCAAAATTATTAACACACTGATGTATTAACAGTGGCTTATTTGTGTGGACAGAACTCTGACCATTGGTGAATTTTCAACTCTGAGTCCTAATGCTGTGTAAGGAAAGGAAACTGAGCACTAGACTTATGGCCTTGATATTTGATATTTATTTACTAGGAGGGCATCACAATGCATTGCTGTGTTTATCTGTAAATAATCATTTCTGATGATCAAACTTCATGACCATGTTATACTGGTATTCAAATGTAGCACTTTCCTCAAACACATTCTCCTCAGATACTGCTGTGCATGGTAGATTTTACCTAGTATAAATAGCCTGGAAAACAAAGTAATTCTTTATAAATAAACTCATTCTCTCAAAGTAAGTAAGTATAGTATTAAACATTAAGTAACTTTTTTCCCTGTTATCTCTGCTTAAGGATATTATTTATAGAATCACTGGGGTATGTGGGCAGACATGTTCTTGGGCTAGTGAAATCCACACAAAGGCTACCCTCCCTATAAAGTCTCTATGCCCTGGTATCTGCTTTGAAAAGCACATTTTTCAATGAGTAGACCATCAAGTGATATGAAACAGACAGCCGAGGACATCTCCTCCTGGGGAATGTTTATTACAGAAGACACAACTTACTGTGTTTAATAAAAGAGAAGAAATAAAAAATACAGGATATGATTTTTTTTTTCTATTTGTCCTCCAGTGGAGTGTCATCAGCTAAATTACAAGTTGGATTCATCCTTCTTCCAACTCAGGCATCCTCAGACATGCAGCTCCATTACTTTGGTCCATGCCAGTCATGATTATTTCTGACAACAGATTTGGACAATATTTCTTCCTTTAAACATCAGAAACTGTTGTTTGAGCTGTCACTCAGCCACTAAGGGGAGATTAGTCAGGGGGCATGGACTTAGTGTTTATCTTCCTACAGTTGGAAGAAGATGAAAATATTGCTTGTGGATCACTTTTTAAGGCATAAATAACATGGCCAAAATTCCTGCTGAACTATCTTGAAAACTGTGTTGGTAAGTTTTCACAAACCTTCTGGAGGCAGCAGGGACAGAAACAAGAGCTACATCTTAGTGGTCGCTTCAAAATTACAACTTCATGACCCAAGTTATCAAGAATCCTCATGGAGAAACACCTATAATCCCCACAGCAATTGCGTGTGCAGCAATTAGACTCTTCTACTGCATAGTAAACTTTCTGCCCAAGTTTGTTCTTGATTTTGTACTTATTAGCAGTTTCAAAACCTAAAATGGCTAAAAAACAAAAACAGGAAATCATAATCAACAGTGCATTAGAATCCTCAACTTTCCTAAGATCATGTAATATCCAGATAGTGTTCTAGTTAGCACAAAAAGAGAAAAAAGGAAGGTATGTATAGATAATACAGTCTGGGGGAGTGAAAAGCAAAAGAAAAGGAAGAGGGGGCCAGGAGTTGGTGGCACACACCTTTAATTCTAGCACTCGGAAGGCAGAGGCAGGTGGATCTCTGTGAGTTCAAGGCCAGCCTTGTCTACAGAGCTAACCAGTACAGAGAAACCTTGTCTCAGAAAAAAAGAAAGAAAGAAAGAAAAAGAAAAAGTAAAGGAAGAGAGGTTCGCAAACAAAGAAGAAATCGAGTACCTCTGGGAGAAACGGAAAATAAAACAGTCATTTTTTGATACCTCTATGGTCTAATTCATGAAGGAGACTGCTGCACGAGTCAGGCACAGTGGTGACACATGTGTGGATGAATCTTCACTTCTGTAGCATAATTGCCATGTATTATGGAGAAGCTAAAGAATGGTTGATGTTTTTAAAATTATGTGAATTAGTGTAGGAAATCAGTTTGGTTTAGATTTTGTTTTATAAACTGTGTGTGTGTGTGTGTGTGTGTGTGTGTGTGTGTGTTTGCGTGTTTGCATTATGGTGAAGCAATGTCGAGACTTACTCTCCATGCAGGCATGTGAAATGGGAGAGACTGAAAATGGAAGGTGAGTAATAACATTGCACTGAGCCCAGAGTCTCCTTGAAGAGTATAGGTAGATGCCAGACAAATGGCAAGTGTGAGAAAGGTGCATGGTCACTAAGCTCAGATTTCAACTGTCATATCACAGTGCTGTACCATGCTATCACAATGCCAAAGGCATTCCAAATGACCTCTGCCTTACTGGTATTCTTTTAAATGCTAAAACACGCAGGTGTTAAATTTAAATGCAGATCCTTAAATATTATCTTATCAAAATCCAGCTATGGGAATCCTCTCATTTAGAGACAGCAAAAATTTGCCCATAGAAAAATATCCTTCAGAAGTTCTAGTATTATGGACTCATTTTGAGTCTTCGATGAGACTTGGGGAGGCCTTAGATTTAGTCACTTAAACCTGGCATGTTATCAGCTGGGCATTGGTGGCTCATGCCTTTAATCCCAGCACTTGGGAGGCAAAGTAGGCAGGTCTCTGTTAGTTCGAAGCCAGCCTGTTCTACAGAGTGAGATCCAGGACAGCCTCCAAAGCAATACAGAGAAACCTTGTCTTGAAAAACAAAACAAAAAATTGGCATGTTAACAACACCTGCCACAAGTAGTTTTGCAAAGATTTACAAAACTACTTTGAAGATTAATTTTTTTACTGAGAGAGCATCTATTACTCAAATAGCAGTTAAATTATGTAACATGGTCTATTACCAAGCTTCCAGTTTTCTTCCAGTTCCTTGGAAATTAAAACCAACAAAATGAATGCATAACAGGACTACAAATGTAGTTTAATGGTAGTAGCATAATTGCTTAGTATGCACAAGACTCTAGGTTAGAGTCCTAGGAGTGAAAAAATAAATAAATAAATAAATAATAAAAACACAAATACAGAGTTATATTTATTTACTTTTTAATAAGATAAAATTAAAAATGTTGGTTATAAACTCAGATGATGAAAATAGAGAAATCATCATCTTTTATATTTTTAATATTAAAAATAATTCCATTTAAGAAAATAAGCAAAATTCATAGACCTGAGTATTTTTTAATCAAGGACTGGAGAACTAGTAAATGTGGTTTAATATTACATAGGGAATATATTTGCTGAATAAATATTTGAACCTTACATATCTAAAAAATAGAAATAGGAGACTGTTTAATATATAAAATCTGACTTTGGGGCTTAAAATTCTTAATAATGTATGCCTTGAAATTGAATCTTTGTAAATACTTAATATACAAAATATTACGAAGTGATAGTGTTTATTTCCAGAGAAAAACTTGTTTTAGAAAAACATAGCCCAAAATATTATAATATTTAATAATGTGCATTAAAGGCAAGTTGAATTAAATAAAAACAACTATGTATTTTAATAAAGTCTAGAAATGTGCCACATAATGCATGTTCTAACTTTTCCAATGAAAAGACACTTTGTATAGAGGTGCTCTAGATTTCAGTTAAGTCATGCTCTGATAGATAGGAGACATCTTCCCATTGTTCTCCCTCCCCTTGGCAGTTACCATGATTTTCTTGCAGCTCCTTCAGTTTCTTTTTACACCTGGAGACAATGGACCTGTAGAGACATCTGTAAGCACTTAGCCCATGCTCTGCACAGCATCTCCAACACAACAGGTCCCTGTGCTAAGCTAGGAAGAGTAGAAGATCCCTATAAGACCTAGAATCCAGGCATGGCACTACCAGTGATTTACAGAGCACCACCATCCTAATTCCAAAAGACCATTCACTGTGAGAGCTGAACCATGGAAGGAGGTTCTGTGAAATTCTCACATCGCTCACAACTCAGCAGGCAGAAGCTAGGAAACCAAGCAGGGTGATAAAACATTTATAGATGTGAGAGCAAATATAAGCTTTGGGTGTTCTTTTTTCAAGTTAGCATCTGTATCATGAGGGCAGTTGACTATTATAATATTTACCAAGAGATTCCTAATTTTTAGGAATGAAAATTTTTAGATAGACCATCTTATTCAAATACTATGAGGAAAGATATTGTAAGCAATCAAGTTTGCCATTCTGCGTTGTCTAGAATGCAGTATTTGTGGAGTTTAGTATGCCTTAACTTTCATTGTCTTTCTGGAAATAGGATGAATAGAACAAAATACACACCTTCCACAAACTCAAAGTCCTGATGAATCAGAATGTGATCTATCTGTCACAGGGAAAATAAAATTAAGAAATTCAGATGTTTTAGTCAACCAAATTTGGATTCATATTTTTATTATTTATAACCAGCTGTCAACATTTATCAGCATCAACCTTTCACAACTGTTTATTTTTTAACAAAACTATTTTTAACAGCTTTTTCATTAAAATATAATCTATTAAATTAACTTTCTATTAATGTGGAGAATTAGGTCAATTTGATTTAACCTGAGATATTTAAAAAAATTAGAAAGCAAAGTTCTTTCTAGATTTTTTGCAAAATATGGAAACATCTTTATCCAAATAAGGAGGTGTATCTGCTCACCTGAAAATTATTCTTGCTTGGTGTCATCATTTGTGGTAAATGAACATACATGTTATGAATTGTGTGTTTGTAGTATGTTTTGAGCAGTGTTTCCTTATCTAATCTAGTTTCCTTATCTAATCTAGCATTGCACTTATGACATCTCTGACTTGGCCTCCTTAGTGTTTGGTTCAGGGTATGGGTCACCATGGCCAGCATGCTGTTGACTCTTAAAAAAAAATGTTTCAGAGTATTTCTTATAAATATTTGCTGAACCCCAGATGCTCTTTTAGAAAAAACACTGAACTATAGACTCTTATCTAATTTATAAAACAAAGCAAGTATCAACTTAACATTGGTATGTTAAACTACATGCAGTACCCTAAAGCCCAGAATTTTCTTCTCTTACTGTTGGCATTTGAAACACTGTGTGTGTCTAATACTAAAAGCAGTGTGAATGAAAACTATAACTTTACTAATTACAAGAAAATAGTAGATCTACTGTGCACAGAATCCAAATTCAGTTTTCAATACCACTTCTATTTCCTAGGCTATGTCTTCACACATTAACAGTTTGCTTGTACTTAATTCAGTTTCATGAGAGACCATTGGTTGATTGTCAATCTTATTTCCTGTGCTACTGGAGAGAGTTCTGTTCAGAAAGATCTAGCCATGACTGTGTGGAATGTACTCACTACCTTCCTTCTAGCACTTTCAGAGCATCAGCTCTTATTATCCCTAATTCACACTCTTGGCAGGATTGTAAATGAATTCAGAACAATGAAAATCAATCTGGAAGTTTTGCAAGAGACTGAAAATAAAACTTCCATATGTCCCAGCTATGTCACTTCTGCATGTACTCAGAGGACTTTATGTTTTACTGCAGAGATGTTTGTACACATATGGTCACTGCCACTCGATTCAAAATAGTTAAGAAACAGAGTCATCCTAGATGTCCAATAACTAAAGCCAAGAAGTGAAAATGCAGTACATGCACTCAGGGGTATTTTACCCATCTGTAAAGAAAATTGAAACGACAAAATTTGTAGGTGAATTGATGGTACTGGAAAATATCATAGCTAGTGAGGCAAGCTCTAACTTGGAAAATCAAACACCATACACCATATGTTCTCTCTCAAATATGCATGGCTTTGGTTCTTTACGTATGTGTTTATTTAAATTGTGCTGTCTGTGGAAACCACAATGGAACAAGAGGGGCATGGAAGGACTGTGGGTAATGAAGGGGCCTTATAAAAACTGAGGAAGGTAGCATACCTTTGATAAGGTATCTGAAAGGAGTACTGGGAGTGGCAAGTTTTAAACAAGGGGAAGGGGTTGGGGAGAACAGGAGGTACAGAAAGAGAGTTAACAAAAACTAAGGATGCATTAAGAATTCACATCAAAACTTACTAATTTATAAGCTTCATAATTTTAAACTGTCAGAATGGATGTACCATGGATGGGTAGAATGCTTATCCCAGAAGCTATGGGTTATTAGCTTAAAAATCCGAGTGTCAGGGATCGAACATTTCCCAAGGAATTATTGATCAAGGAGGTCCTAAAGGCTCCCCAAACTCTACAGGTTATGACCATTGCCATTGATCTCCTACTATAAACTTTGGTTCCAGAACTCAAGGAAATCCTACTTTAACTCAGCTAGAAGTTTCCTTCTTGCTGATGGATTTCAAACAGTTTGTGAGCTTCACACCTTGTATACTATAATATCATCATGTTAGGCAAGATGTTCCTACTGCCGAAATAGTGGCACATCTCTTATGAAGGTGAACAACTGATTTTTTATAAGATCTAGCAGATGGAAATTCATGCCCTAAACCAGAGACCAGGTCAAAGTCCCATGGTTGGGAAGGTCACGGGCACCAGGGATGAACCTATTACCTTCATTTTACTAAACAGGTATATTATAAAACTGCCTCCAAAATATTTATATTTATATCCAATACTAGTGCTGCCCTCATTCCTAATCAAAGACACTTCTCTTTGTAATGAATGGTGAATTAATGCAGAGAATCCACCACTGGCCAAGGTACTGAGAACTAGTGATTGTTGAGTGCTTAGTGAAATAGAACACCTGTATCCCCATGTCACCCACTCCAAGGCTCAGAGAACATCACAGAAGATGGGGCAGAAAGAATGAGCCACAAATGAGAAGATGACTATGAAATACTGTCTTGTGGTTATGAATTCACAGCAGCTGTGTTTCTCCTTATATAGTCTACACAACACTCAGCTGGTAAACATTTAGGCACAGGTAATAAAGAGGCTCATGTTGCTCAACACTCCTCTGAGAACTGTTGTTGGTCTCAGGGTCTCACATGCTGGGGGAAAGAAGTCACTATTTAGTGACTTAACCTCTAGTGTCTTACCTATGCACTTGTGGATAGGTCAATACTCATGTCCAGGCATATCCCTGTTTAAACTCAGTGCTTTACAAACAAACAATAAACACACACACACACACACACACACACACACACACACACAGAGGAAAGTGAGGTGAGGACTTAGGTAGGAAATAGGGTAGGGGTGGGGCAGGAGAAGGTAGGTGGATTAATACGACTAGAATTTTATTGTAGACAGGTATGAAATTGTCAAATAATAAATTAAGGAGGAATATATTGTATAATGTGCTTATTTTTAAAAAGCCTAGAAACTTGTGCTACATATATACTAGCATTTGACCATTATCCTAAATCATTTCCAAGGTAATAGGAAATACAATTTCCTAAGGCATTCAAACTTTACTTCAGAAATAAGACAAATCCATAAAAATCAGTGATTCATTTTAGAATACATAGCCATGGTGTGTGAGTTGTGTCATGATCTCTACAGTTGGAATACTGAGGTAGATAGATTATGAGGAATTTAAAAGAGTCCCAGGACAGACGAGGGCATCGAGTGGCCCCCTTTGTCAAAAAAAGTGTGCTTTTATACTCCTGTAAAAGTCTAAATGTTATGAACGACAGTGATTGCCTGCCTATGAGTAAACTGGAAGCATGATCCTGTTTATGAATATTTTATCTGTTTGAACTTACCGGAATTAAATGTTCCAATCCAGGTGGCAGTTCAGAGGTGCTAGGGTTAGAATCCATGGGGTCACAGCAGGTCCACCTGGCTGGAGAGATTCTGGCTGACTTTGGGTAATAAAGAAGGCTGGGTCTTCATCTGCATAGATAGATGGTCAGACTTGGCAGTGAGCCTGAGGTCCTGAGTATGCAGGATGTCCAGAAATTCCCGAAACAGGAGCGTGTCAAATAGATTATTACTGCATAGAAAAGTAGAATGACCAATCCTAACTACCTATAAATTGGCATTTCAGTTCTACTATCCATGAACTTTAAAGTGTGATTGTTATTTTTTTTAAGTTATTTCCATGCAGTTAATGGGATTTCATATCTTCTATTTTTGAGGGTGATGGCTGTGAAGAGTCTTTGGCTCTGGGAGTTTTCCCCTAATTGAAACATTCCCATCTGGAAGGAAAATGGGAGCTCATAACTCTCAGGAAGTAAACCAATCTCACTGATGAGAGAAAGCTGAGATATACAACAGGCATGAGACCCCTCCCAGAGAGCAAAGGATCAGTTATCAAAACCACTGTGAGGAGCCTTGGCTGTCATTTGAGCTGTCTGCAAGTTGTGCTGAGAGCTGTAGGGATGTACGCCTTGTGAGTTATCAATCAACCAAGATGGGCTGGGCTTTTTCACACTGCAGCTGCCTAAGAGACACCCATGAGCCCCCTATACAGAACCTTTCAACCACACTCCTGTAAGAGTCCTCAAATTGAATGTTGGTGTAGTTGTTACTTTGGTATGTTCACAGAGCCCTTGAGTGAGAAGACATCTGTTTAAGCCTTTCTGGAAAAAAAATTAACACATCACCCTTACCATTCAAACTTGAATGTAAAATATGTGAGACAAAATCACAAATAACTAGATTTGTTTATATGAAGATTTTGGCATGAGTTCATGGAAAGGGGTGTTAATGAGAAAACCAAAGCATAGGATGTAAACTACTATTTCTAGGACCAAAGCATCCTTTGAAAAAGAATAACTTGGAAACCTGAGCAATAGTTTCTCATATATAGATATATCATGGAAACGTTTTCTACTGAATTGATGTTTGCCAAGGTCTGGAGTCATTTGTCTATTTTCTACAATGAATGAGAAGGGTGGCACTGAAATATGGTAGGTAGAAGCCAGGAATGCCACCACTGTCCCCTTGTGCCCAGAGTAACACACTTGAAAATAAAGAATTCTCTATCCCTAATATTATAGTTCTATATATAGTAATATGTATGACTGCAATTAAGTTTCATGCTCTTATTTTTATAGTTCATAGAAAAGCAGTTTCTAGGCTCCAAAACACAAAAGCACTGATAGCTATGGGGAACCCAATACTCGGAATAGGCAATGCATTTAAACAGAACACTGATGAAGGAAATCCACAGTCATTAAAAGTAGCGCTTAGCTAAAAGAAAATATATAAGTGCCTCATAAACATAGCTTTTATTGTCAATTCCCTCTAAATAAATGAACATTTATAGATGATCTATGGTTTGATTGAATCGGTTGCACAGTGAAGAGAAACAATTATCAAGAAGATAATTTGCACTTAAGCAGCTTACGATTAACTTCCAAGAGAAAGAAAATGTTTCCAAAATAAAGTTTTCAGACACACAGCAGCTATTTTAGATAGATATAGCTTAAATGGAGATGGGAATGCCGGGAAGGGAGAGACTTTGTGAGATGCTATAGGGAGGAACAATTGAGACAAAAGGCAAAGGAAAAGTCAAACACCTGATTTGGGATATGAATTTGGCAGGCTTATCAAGAGGCATCCAAAGAACAGAGAGCTCTGTTGGTGACACAACAGGACAGTTTACCTCTCGCTTTATTCTAACTTTGCTAGGTAGGTAAAGAGGGACTCTGGGGAGAAGGGCGAGTTCATGACACCATTTATATCTTGACAATGCTGAGCATTCAAATTCCCATTGTGAAAAATACATTGAAATGATGCCCTTAAAAAATGTAATAGATATATTTGAGAATGGACAAGTTAACAATTTAATACTATGGGAAGGAGATGAGAACAAAACAACACAGCAAAGCTAAACACTCTCCTAAACCACACTTGAGAAAGTTCTGGACAAGACCTGACATGAGCTCTAGAACTGCACATTCACATCTTCCATCTAGTCTTGACTTGGGTTTGATCATCATACACGTGCTGTTTACTGGAAGGGCTTTGGAAGCTATTGGGGAGCCCATGGTGGTGATGCCTCTTTTAAAGAATATCTGGAGAGTAGATCCAACAGGGCAGAAATTCAAGAAGGACCCTCCAAGCCAAAATCTACAGCCTTCACAGTCTACACATCTAAAGGAAGCTGTTGGCCTAGTTCTCAGCATTGCTGTTGGGATGGTGTAGCATGATGCCAAGAATGGAACCCCAAGAGATAGGACTGTGATTGTGTCTGGTTCAACAACCTGGTCTGTTCAACTGGAGCAGCCAATTTGAGAAGGCCTGGCAAGGCTGCACATCCAGATCTGTATAATGAAATACCTGCCTCAGATTCTTGTGTTAACCTGTTCTGTTCTCAAGAACCATTCCCTTTTGCATAGAAATCCCCAGAAGAAAACTAAATGGCTTCTAAACAGTGCTCACTTATTCTTGCTTGCTAGTTTTCTTCCTACTTTTTAAACCTTAAGACTTAAGTTACATGTTAATAAGGAAGAGAACATTCTGGCAAAACAACTGGAGTTTCAGGAGTGGTCTTTGCAGGGCTGCAATTGGAGCCAGCCGAGTGCCCCCCCCCAAGTCCATACTTGAATGGGTGTGTGGATGAGGGAAAGGCTAGCTATAGATAATAAAGAAAGACAGAGACACAGAAGAAAGGTCAGGGGGGCAGATCAGTCAATACTGAAATGCCACAAGTTTATTTTTCGCCACACTTATAAACCATAACCAAAAAGGGGAACACAGTATCATGTAAATGGAACAGACTTTTCTTCCTCACTTATTCTAAGGGTTCAGTAACCACACCTTAGCTCTAACTTCTTGTTCCCTAGTCTTAAGGTCAGGAGTAGCCACACCTCAGATTCAGGTCTGCTGTTATTTGGACTAAGATGGCCCAAACATCCTTCTGTAGCCACACCTTTGACCTTTATGTTTTATGACTTGCTGACAGCTTTGAACTATCCGTCCTTGTGCCAAGACGGACTATAGCCATCTTTATGGACACCCACAAATTCTCCCTTCTTAATATAATTTAAAAAATACCTGTGCTTCTGCTACAGGACAGATGACTGTGTCTGTCTTAGATGGTCTTCTTCAACCTTCCAGCCTTACCCACCATAGGAAGCACACATTCTGTAATGTGTGTCCTGTCTTAAGGAGCTTGGAGGCGAAAAGACTACCCGTCTCTGACTACCAGCCTCTGTAATAAAGAACATTAGGGGATAGTGCATAGTTCGATGCCAACACATCTGAGCCAACTTCTCACAGAGAGTTCCCGAGCAAGCTCGATAATGCATATGCTTCTGTGGCTACAGCATCTCCTGCAAAAGGACAGGATGAATCCAGATAATATAGCCTTTTAAAATTGGTCTGTGATGTCTTAAGTGGCTTTTGTTATATTAAAATCTAAATCTGCCTATTCAATTGCATTGTATCTAACAATTCATAAGCATCATATCTAATTCTTAACAGAATGAGCTGACTTTTTCATTCATAACTTATCTAGTATAGCAAAGGTTGTAAACATTAATGGTTCCAATATGATTCTTATTAACAATTGACACATAATTGACTAAATTACAATTCTCATAATTTCAATTCAATCAAAGAACAATAAAATTTTCTCATGGTGAATGAAGTATAAATAACTCCACAATTCTAAACCCTTACTTTTTTCCCTCTCTAAACTCTAATGCACTGCTGCTTATAATTTCCAAAGACAAGTTTGAGAAACCACAATTCTTGAGTATTAAATATTAACTGCAAGTGTTTTGTTCATTGCCCGCTCAAATACTGATGATGGACTTTTGCCCCACACCATGTCGACAATAGCTTTCAATTGTCCTAAGATGCAGCAGGCTTGTTGGGAAACTGGAAATCTTGAACCAAAATGAAAGTCTCTAATATCCTTTCCTTCTGAAAATCTTGAACCAATTGTTTTCTTTCTTTCTCGGATTATAACATTAGAAATACAGGTTCAGTAAGCCTCAATTGAACCAGCTTGGACAGGCTCCCGGGGTGGACTCAGGTCCAGTTTTCCTCTGTTCCAAGCATCTCACCAAATGGTCTGGCAGCCATCGGGCCTCATTTTCTTCCAGTGAGAAAATACAAACATGCCCTCGACCCCATATTAAGACAGGATAAGGTCCTTTCCATTGCTTAGTGCATGGATCTTTCCATTTGACATGAGCAAATGTCGCTTGAGTTCCATCATGCCATAATCTGTCAGCTGCAGATTGCTCACTGGCCTCCACATTTAAGACATTTATAACGAAGAGTGCATGATTTAATGAATCATGCAGAGACTGGGGGCACAACTCCCCTTTCCTTATTTTTATAAGTTGTGTTTTCAAGGAGCTATGAGCATGCTCCACAATTTCTTGCCCTTGTGGATTATAAGGAACTTGCCTAGTCTGTGTTCAGTTTTCCATTGAGCACAAACTTGCTGAAATGCTTTACTGGTATATACAGATCCATTGTCTGACTTTGGAACTCCCATGTTAGCAAAACATTTTAAATAGTGACTTATCACATGCTTGTGCAGTAGCCATTAGGAAGCCTGAATATGTATCGACTGCCACGTGCATATATTTTAATCTGCCAAATTCTGCAATATGAGTAACATCCATTTGCCATAAATGATTAGGTAGCAGGCCTTGAGGATTTACTCCTACATCATTTACAGGCACACATTGTAGGCACACATCACATTGTTTGATAACCTGCTGAGCAGTCTCTCTAGTTAAACCAAACTGTTTTCTTAGACTATTACTATTTTAATGATGAATGCTGGGTGACTGTTGAGCTAATTCTACCTAAGATAATATGCCATTTTTGTCAATCTATCAGCTGACTCATTACCTTCA